ATTATGATCAAGCAATTAATGACAGAATCACTCACTAGTTCTTCTCGTGCCTGGGCAGCTGTTCAACAGCTCTGCTGGTGTCTCTTTTGCTCTGTGGCCCTTTTCCCCTCCCTCTTCCAATGCTGAATCCAACCCTGGGTGGATTATAGGGCTGAGAAACCTTTGCCAATTGCTTGGTGAGCTCAAGGTCCAGGTCATCTCCCACCCCAGGACAGAGGGTGAGGATAGACAGAGGTTTGGGAGGAGTTTGGTGCTGGTTTGGTTTCATCTCATCAGATTGATGAAGTGATATTTTCCCTCCCATGGAGAATGGAGAGAAAAATCATCTCTAGGTTTCGTTTCAGGCTCTGTTGTAAATGACAGAGAGTTTCTTTGCAACCAGAAGGAAACAGAAGCTTCTTCTGACTTGATTTAAGCCAAATTTTTCCTTCCCCCAAAAATATGTCCTGCAGGAGATCCACAGCAAGTCCTGCAAACAGGAGCTGAGCACAGGGACAAGCAGGAAAGTCACTAGGCAAACTTGGATCTACAATGGATGGGAAAATGAAGGAAAACCTGATGGTTTTGGCCCCAAATCCATCACATGTGGCTGCTGAGCCAGACAGAGCTGCAGGAGAAATGCTGCCTGTGCCACATCTGCTAAAATGTCCTCAGGATAACAGTTCTGCTCCTCCTGTGGTGGAGGATGATTCCATGGGATCCTAAAGCACTCAGGATAACAGTTCTGCTCCTCCTGTAGTAGAGGATGATTCCATGGGATCCTAAAGCGGTTTAGGTTGGGAGGGAACATGGAGATGAGCCAATCCCACCCTCTGCCATGGGCAGGGACAAATTCCACCAGCACAGGGGGCTCCAAGCCCCATCCAACCTGGACACTTCAGGGATGGATGCTCTGGGAAATCCATTCCAGTGCCTCAGCACCTCACAGGGAAGAATTCCTTCCCAATATCCATCTAGACCTGCCATCCTTCAGCTTTAAGCCATTCCCTGTGTCCTGTCCCTCCATCCCTCGTCCCAAGTCTCTCCATCTCTCTTGGAGCCCCTTTAGGCACTGGAAGGGGCTCTAAGGTCTCCCTGGAGCTTCTCTTCTCCAGCCTGGCCTGGAACACTCCCAGGGATGGAACAGCCACAGTTTCCCTGGGAATCCTGTTCAGGAACTCCTTTCCAGCTCTGGTTTGACCCCACCAAGGTTGTCCTGCCCTGGAGGTCCCCAGGGAGCATTCCTGGCAGGACATGGAGTGGCACTGAGGGGCTGAGGTGACACCCCAGGAGCTGTTGTGCTTCAGGGCAGGGAAGGAGCACATTTGCTCTCCTCTAATTAGTGCAACTCATTAACTCAACTGCCTCTTTCCTGACTTCAGCATGTGTCTGTGAAATGGCTCGATCAAAGCAGCCTCGTCAGGGGACAAGGAGGATTTTCTGCTGGGATTATACAGCCTGGGAATGATCCTTTGCCTTTGACAAGATCAATTAATTACCTCGAAGGCATTTTGCAGCAATAAATTAGCTGCTTTGCTGCCCTCCCTGGGAGGTTGGAGAGCAGCAGCTGAGGCAGGAGCAGTGTCTGGGTGGGCACATGGGCAAGGGTTGAGGAGACTCTAGGGCTGGGAGATGAGCAGTGAGGAGAAGCTGAGAAGATGGAAAAAGTCCAGAAGAGGCTGAGAAGGGGAAAGAGGTCTTGGAGCAACAGATTCCAATGGGCAGGAAAAGCAGAAGAAACCCAGACCTGGATTCCCAAGGAGAAAGATTCCTGAGGTGTCTTTAGCTGAAGGGAGACCAACAGAAGGTGGATGGATGCACATGTGGATGCAGATAATCAACCTCTAAGCCGAACTCCTACAGATTTCCATCAAAACCAGCCATTTTCCAGTCAATCCAGAGTGGTTTTCCTATAGAGGGTTGACTAAAGCCTTGAGCAACCTGCCCTGGTGGGAGGTGTCCCTGCTCAGGGCAAGGAGTTGGCACTGGATCATCTCTAAGCTCCATCCCAACCTCTTCCCAATCAGAACTCACAGAAGGCTCCAGCCCAAGGTTAGAGTTGGTGTCACCTCCAGCAGGAGCCAGGAATAAGCCTGGAAACCCCTCAAAAGTGACAAGGAACAGCTTTTCCCCCACTTTTACACCAAACCAGCTCACACAGTGTGTTGGCTGTGAGCAATGAGTCAATTAGCTGCAGGAACCTTCCTGCCTTTAACCTCCATGTCCCTGAGCAAAGCTGTGGAAAACCATTCCAGCAATTCCTTGGCTGCAAAAAAAAACCCCAAACTCCTAGAGAACATCTGCTCTGCAAAGCAACTGCTCTTCATCATCTCATTAGTAAGTTCTCCCAGGAGAAGGAACAACCTTTGCAGATGCTCAGATGTTGTTGGCTCTGCCCTGACTGGGAACAAGAAGTCTTGGCCCAGCAAAGGGTCACCCAGCCCCAGGCTATGGGACATCCAGCCCTGGGTGGGTGTTCTCAGCCTCTGTGGTGGGAACAAGGTGCACAGTCACCACTTCCATGAGTTGAGATGCTGAGGGACAAGTTGGGTTGTGCTGGCAGTGAGGATGAGTGTGAGTCCTGCAAGCTCTTGGTGCTAATTGTTCAACCTCAGCACCTCTGGCTGTGTCTCAGCATCTTCCCCCAGGCACAGAAATGATATTTCCACCACCCTGAAGACCTCATGACCTCTCTAATGCCATGGAGGAATTGCCCATGGGATTGTGTGGCATATTCCATGCTACAAGCTGCTCACTCCTGTTTCGGAGCTGCTCACACCTCCTTGGCTCCTCCATCAGCTTCCCTAAGTCAGGGCTTGTCTTTCTGCTCTGAACTGGGAATCAGGGAGTCATGGAGTGGTTTGGGTTGGAAGAGAACACATGGATCATTCAGTCCCACCCCTGCCATGGGCAGGGACAACTTCCACCAGCCCAAGTTGCTCCAAGCCCTGTCCAACCTGGCCTGGAACACTCCCAGGGATGGAGCAGCAACAGCTGCTCTGGGAAATCCATTCCAGTGCCTCAACATCCTCCCAGGGAGGAATTTCTTCCCAATATTCCCATCTGTCCCTGCCCTCTGGCAGTGGGAAGCCATTCCTTGTGTCCTGTCCCTCCCTCCCTTGTCCCAAGTCCCTCTGCAGCTCTC